CAACCAGCCACAGACCTCGTAACAACACCAGAAAGAAGTAAAAGGAGCAGATCACGACAAACCACCCACCTGCTATCCCCTCAAGCAGTGCAATTTCTCAATGAACAAGAGGTATGTGCAGAAAATCGCAAGCTCACAAGATTGTTTTAGTAGAGGTTTTACGGCGCTCGCAACTGCATAAAGTCGTATAAGCGCCAAGGGGTGGATGTCAACAGAGAAGTCCTTACAAGGAATCAGACTTACTCTGCTCACCTCTCTAGCTTCAACATCCCAAAGTCTGCTTCGACTATCAAGGCACCCCGGAAATAGCGGGTCACAAGAGTATGACAAACATTAAAGAAGTAGAGGAAAATGACGATAGTAAGGATTACGAAAGAAATAGCAGCAGTTCCCTGTTGCAGTTCAGGCACAGTTATGAGCATGACATTGTTGGATCAGTCCATTTACAATTCTACTGTGCATAGGAACGTGAAATGCCCCCCCCCCCTTGGAAATGGCCTAAAGACACTTCAGTCAGTGGCACCGCACCGGGGGGAAAGCTCACAAGAGACCCCAACGAATTAACATCCGCCCACAGAGTAGTCCTACTTCTAGGACAAGCGAATAACATAAAAACTGTTTTGTTTGGGTTAGGAGACTGACATCGATACAATAACAGCCAATTTCAATGAAGGAAAAAGTAAGTTTTCAGCTTTGATAGAGTTTTACGCACATTTAACACAATTAGGCCACACAAGTGCCGAAAATTATAGCTGTAGCTTGAGGAGAGTAACATAAAGAAAAGAAGGTAGAGAACGGATGATAGGTATTTGACACGAAAAGAGGAGCAAACCACATAAGAGCACCCGCCAACCACCCGCAAGAAAAAGAAAGACAGACAAACAAACAAACAAACAAAAAACGAAAGAAGAGAAGCATATGACCTACCAGTGGCGCCGTCGAACCACCAGCGACAACATAAGAATTCAGTACAGTAGAAGACTTCAAAGTAAAAAAGCACCTTACCTGGACTAACAGAAATTGTTCCCACATAGCAGAGCTCGCCCTGAGATGAATCTAGCTAGCAGCCCCCACACAGACACCTACACACTCTCTCCCATCGAGTGGTTTTGGCAACGAAACTCGTCGGCTATTTCGCACACAACTGGATTTTGGCTGGCGCGTGTTGGAGGTGAGTGAAGCTATTTCGGACACAGACGTCATACCCGGTCATACCACCACACCAAGGCGTGCCGGTGTGAGCGAGCACCAGGTGCCACAACTACAGGGGGCAGAACTCGTACAGAAATGTTCAACGAGTAAAAAAGCGAGTTGCGCCCCTTACAATGCGTTTCCAGGAAAGTTTCCAGCCCAAAACCCCACCCCCCTCCCTCTCTTCTTCTCTCTACCC